GGGGGGGGTCTTGAACTAGTAGTATTACGCTTTTGTGAGGTGAAAAAAAATAATTTTTGACATAATGATGAACTCTGCAATTGTTGATGATAACTAATTTCACTTTTTGCAGTATAAATGATCAGTAATAACAGAGATACAGTGGAATCCTGATAAAGTCAACTTGCTTAAAGTCAACTCTTGCTTACAGTCAACACTTCACTATAGTCCCGTTTCTTACCTTCTTTGTTAAAGTAGTTGTGTTTCTGATACAGTCAACCGCTTGAGTGTTAACCTTGCGTAAAGTCAACAATTTGGGGCTAAATCCTAAGATGAATTCATTCAAGAAGAGATATTTCGTATTTCGCCTGAGCAAGTGGTGTACACACCTCCAATTACATAGAATCTATGTACTTTGTTCTTTCATTATCTCTTGGTTTGGGGACAACTTCAGAATTATACTCCCTGAAATTGAGATTACATCTTGTTTATTACCAGGTACTTTATAATTTTGTAGCTGTCATCTTCAATTTCAATGGCCAGTACATGTAGTACAATAGATAAAGTCAACCTTGCTCAAAGTCAACACTTTTTTCTGTCCGGGGTGTTGACTTTATCGGAATTTCACTGTAACTTATTTTTTGTTTAAATTAAAACGCTTTTGTCATAGACACGAGTCTCAATTTTTTCCTTTTTATTAGTAAGAAAGAGTGTGTATGCAATATTTTCCTTGAATGATTTACTCTAATTGTGAGGCAGCGTGGTAAAATCAGGCGCTCGTCAAAATAATGAAATTAGTGAAAAAAATTGGCTTGTTTCCACAGGTTAGGGAACTTTTATTGATTTTTTTTTCGCGCTAAACACCTTTTAGGTCCATACTGAAAAATGTTCATTACATGCATAAAATTTGTGATTTTTCAGTTTTAAAGGCTCTCAAGCTATTGAAGTTATCAAACTTTGGCGGCCGTTTTCTCACTAAATTTACCTCTGAAATCAGGTGACCCCACCTCTTTCAATCACAAATATTTCGAATTCTATTCAGTATAAATGAATATTGTTTTCATCAAAAGGAAGGCAAATGGACAGGCTTTAAGATGATATCAATAACCCTGAATGCCTCAAAATCAAAGCTGACGAGCGGTTGATCCCACCATGTCGTGACACCTATTATTTTTTAGTGCATAGATCTATATCATTATGTGCATGTATGTGTGTATGCATGTTGCTCATGAATATTATGCAATGTGCATAGAGCAATGATTGTTTTACGGATTTGTGCGATATAAATGTCACAATAATATTATTTTCATCATTATAAGCGAACAATGTCATATTATGGGGGGGGGGGGGGGTAAGGGCAAATGTAAGAAAAGTGTAAGAAATGGGGAGAGAGAGAGAGAGAGAAAGAGAGAGAGAGAGAGAGAGAGAGAGAGAGAGAAAGAGAGAGAGAGAGAGAGAGGGAGAGAGAGAGAGAGAGAGAGAGAGAGAGAGAGAAACCAAAAGTGAAGGCTTTTTGGACTTTACACACAAACACAGTTATCCCATGTACGTGAACGTCTACACCATTCTTTCATCCCGGCTTTGGCTCTTATTTAAAAAATCTTTAAAGACACATTTAATGACATCCTTTTTAAGTCAGTAGATTCATGTTCAGTACATTGTTATATAAATGTCTATGCATCCATTTATGTATTTTGTGAATTGCAGTGTATATATTATTTTATTCTCATTTCGTGACGATGTGTAATCGTGTGCGTGTGATAAGCAAGTAGATGTGTGTGTGTGTGTGTGTGTGTGTGTGTGTGTACGTGTGTGTGTGTGTGTGTGTGTGTGTGTGTGTGTGTGTGTGTGTTTGTGTGTGTTTGGCATACATGTGTGCGTGTTATGTGTTCGTGAGTGTGTATGCGTGTGTTTGTGTGTGTGTATATCTATATGTGTGTGTGTTTGTGTGTATATGAGTGTGTGTGTGTGTGAGTGTGTGTGTGTGTGTGTCGCGTGCATGAATATTTTTCTTACATGCATTTATGTAAAGCGCCTAGAGCTGTGTTTACACGGGAGTGGGCGCTATAGAAATGATCTTCATTATTATTATTATTTTTGCTTCCCAACAATTAGTTACCACGCATTTATTTCATTAATATTATTATTATTAACTCATAACCATTTCGCCCCTCCACCCTTCCTTCCCTTTTCCCCTACCTTAAAATGTAATAAGTTTAATGCGCCTATACTAGCAACGGTATTGCAATTTAGGCCTGTAGAGGGTCGAGACCCCTAAAGTGCATCAAATACCAAGTAAGCTATTTTTACTTTAACACGAATTGTCAAAGGATACGTGCGTGTGTACCTGGAACAAAGTCCCAGTTGTCGGCAAAGGTGTATTTGAACAACAGGATGTAAAAGCAAAAAAAAGTCGTAGTTGGTCAAAAGTTCAGTTTCACCAGTTTGATAATTTCTTAATAACACATTTAAAGGCGTTTATAATTTGTATGCCTAAAATTGTGCGTGTTCTGCATTGAATTTACTACAAGAATATGCCCTTATCTAACATACAAAATGTCCGACAACTAGGACTTTTCTCCAGGCACACATCTTCAGGCACAGCAGGTGACCTCTGAACCTTCTATTTGCAGCATCAAGCACGCCACACCCGTACACAACAATCCCAGAAAATATCAAAACAAGTCTCGGAAACAAACCAGCAACAGCTACCATTATCCCAGAGAGTACTACGTATCTTGCTCCTTTCAAGCTCACCAGTCACGTGTCCGACACATCAACTGTCGTGACGTCAACGGATGCTGCCAATGTTCAAGTTCAAGGACAAACCAGACCTGCACCAGATGTAGAAAGCTCGCCCACAGTTCTCTCAAGCGTCTCCAGTGTTGTGCTTACTTCAAACAAGAAACCGGTTTCAGCTTCTTCTGCGTCCATTTCATCCCCAAGCTATTTTACAACAAAGATGAAGACTACTTCAGATCCTATGTCGCTATCCGGACAAGGGGGTCCTCAAGGTAAAAACAAAACAGCAGACACAAAGCTGTTATCTCCAGCCCCAATGGAAATTTCCAGTCAAACTTCTCAGGCAAAACCTTCCCTAACAACGAGTTACGCGTTCACAGCAGCCAGTGAAAACACTAGTCCCGCAGCAGCGAAGGGTAATGTCGGTTTTGACGAAGGGTTGACAGCAGGGTTTGCTGATGTAAGCACACCTTTTGTTTCCATAACAACGGCTACTGCAGTGGAGAAGAAGCAGACGACTCCACAGGATTGTCCCATGTTCAACTTTGACTGTCCGGCGGAGTGTGCAGCTGTCGACAGCAACGGCTGTTTAGTCTGTCAGTGTGGTGAGTGACCTACTTACTCCTCTTTTTTAATCCCCAAGTGTCAAGCAAAGATGCGACATGTATGACGTAGGCCAGGTGTGCTGCTCTTTGGATCGCCTTAATATCTTGTCTTTGAAGAGTCACTTTGACTCTATCGATCCATCTTTTTTTTTCTTGACCTTCACCTTTTGCCTTGAAGCCATCGATTCGCTGTTTGTAGGTCTTTGAGGCTGGCTGTTAAGGCACCACTCTATTTACGTGTTCAAACGACTATATGTGTTGTCTCTCAATGTATGCCTTGCTCAATTGTTCTGATGTCTTCGTTTCTTTGTCTGTCTCTTCTCGCGATTTATAACCATTTTTTTCGAAACATATCAGCGCGAGTATCTGCAGTTATAACATACCAGGTGCCTTCTGGTTGTATAGCGCATAATATAGTGTTTGGTTGGCGGGTACTCTGATGTGGTTTGATATCTTTTTCCTATCAAACATGTGTCGTCCTTATCTCTCTCTGTTTTAAACTGTTTCTCTCTTTTAACACACCTGATCTATGGCACTTATATGAACATTTTGCAAGTGCTGTAAGACTCTTACTAAATCTAAACTATATTACTCATTCATATAATATATAACTTTATATATATATATATATATATATATATATATATATATATATATATATATATATATTATATATATATATATATATATATATATATATATATATATATATATATATATATATTCTGATGCATTTTTCCCTTAGTTGTAAATGCTATAGGGAGAGCATTAATATACTACACTTCGAAACGAATTATGTCTTTTTTATCTTTTCTTCTAACTCGTTCCCCAAACTGTCCTCGCCATCAATATCTCTTAAACACGTCTCCCGTCATTTCTACGGTCCACAGGAGACACAGCTGTACCCTCTGGTCGAACCTCAGCTGATACCAACAGCAGCAGCAATAACAACAGCGACAACACCAGCAGCAATGACAACAAACAGAACGTGCCAGTAACGACTCGTGTGCCAGCGAAGAGTCAGGCTATGACAAACAGCGACATTCTCTCCTCGAGCTCTCTGACCTTGACCTCACAAGCCTCAACTAACTTCCCAAAGACAACAGGCAACGTCTTCGGCCCTACAGACACAACGAATGATGACGTCATTCGGGATGATTTCACAATGACAGATCTCATCGCGGCACAAAATGGCGGACAGAAGAATCTATCTACCATTACTACGAAAGCTGCACATTCAAAAACTCCTACCTGGAAAACCTCCAACCAACCATCTGAACAGACGGCGACAGTCTCGGAGAAAACGACAAAACAATCACCAGCCACAAGAAGGCCAACGTCCACCGTCGTTACCATGACAACGACAGAACGCAACTTGCAGACGTGCCCTCCAACACGTTGTGTCTCGCCGTGTGACGTGGGGATCACACTAGGGGCAGACAACTGCCCTATCTGTTTGTGTAGACAAGATAATATTATAAATGCCCCATGATATTCACTGTATTGAACGAACTATATAAAATATATACTCATACATTTTTACTGACACCATCCAGCCTCTTTTGACCATGACTGTCATCGGTAGATCTATATAGTATAGTATAGTATAGTATAGTATAGTATAGTAGAGTAGAGTAGAGTAGAGTAGAGTAGAGTAGAGTAGAGTAGAGTAGAGTAGAGTAGAGTAGAGTATAGTATAGTATAGTATAGTATAGTATAGTATAGTATAGTATAGTAGATAGTATAGTATACTAGGCCTATAGTTGGGGTGGTTTTTTTGGGTAAGTGACTGCACAAGGTCATATGAGCGCGCGAGACACACTTAACATTTTCAGTAGGTAGGACATTTTGAATTTTGCCCCGGTGCCGGCCGAAACCTACTCTTATCGATTTTGGACCACCAAGGGATCTTCAACTTAACGTGCGCAAATTGCAAACGGGACCTCCGAGATTTTTTGCCCTTGTCTGAGAAGGCTATATGCAGAAAGACAGCAGTAAGACGGAGCCAAGGAGAAGCAGCGGAAAGGCTGCAGAAAGAGTCAGGAGCCCAGAGGAGGGCGCAAGGGAGGTGACAAGGTGGGGGCAGAAAGTGGAGACGAAAGCAGACGACAGAATATTGCCAGAGAGCAGGAAAGTAGATGAAAGGAGATAATTTTAGAGGAAAAAAAGTGTGCGTGGCTACCCGGATTTGAACCCGGGACCTTTGAATGAGATGCCAACACTGTAACCTCTTTGCCACGAGAGAGCATAGCGTAGCATAGCATAGCATAGTATAGTATAGCATGGTTGGTGTAAGTTTGAGCATCGAACCGAGTCTTTTCAGATATGGGCAAACAATCTTGCAGTTCCCCTGTGCACATTGTGCATGTTAAAGATCGGTTGGTGGTTGAAAATTGACGAAGAATAATAATAAGTCGTTAGGCAGCCACCTGAGCAAATTGGAAATGTTCCTTCCATAAAGGATATCGCCCTATCACACCTGTAAAATAGCCAGACACACCTTCATTCACCTTTACGCCTTTTTTCGTTCCAAACGATTGACCGTGTCTCTCTTTTGAAATGCGTCCAGGATTGACAAAAATGTGTAAGATATATCCATTATTCCGGTTAAGTGGTGTTAAATATTACAAAAATATCAGACGGGGAAAGGCAGTTTGTACGATGCGTCCTGCGTCAGTGATTTTGAGTTTTCTGTGTTCTTGTTATCCATGCCCGATTGTGTTGAGAAAGACAAGATCTGAAGGGAGGGAAGCAGTACTTGGAGATGATTTACTTCCTCCATGTCTGCATCCCATACAAAGCTATATCATGCATAGTCTAAAACAGCTTTATGCGATGCTCACAGAGGAAAGCTCTATATCCCAGACTCTAGCGTGGAGATCATCAGGAGAGAACGCGTCGCTGTTTTGAGGTCTTTCTCTCTACAGCTTTTCTGATGCACCGAGCCCCCTCACCGATGTGCACACTGATTTTAGATCATCTGTCTAGATGCAAATAAGACCATCTTTGAGAAAGCAACAAGAAATAAAATAAACAAAAACATCCAATACGTGGAGACAGTTTGTATTGCACATTCTGTACATACATAACACGCAGCACAGCAAACCAAACAGGAAGGTATATATGTGAAGACTACAGCACAAAAAACATGAACTTATTCAAAGAGAAAGCAATATGAAATAACAGAATTCTTCAAACAAGTGAAATAGCAGTTGAAACTGAAAGGACTATTACTGCTCTTTGCTTAACTTCTTGGCATATTTCTGACCCCCCCCCCCCCTATAAAATTAGCCAGCCCTGCTCACTTATGTACTTTATACAATTAACTTACTTTATACAAGTACACAAAAATGATTTCACTGATTTCATTGTTGGTGTTGGTAACATAACAGCATTTCAGCTACCTTGCCACGAGACTCATGCAATACCGACTGACTATCAATGAGTGTAACAGACAGAGATACTGGACAGAACAGACTTTCCCTTACGGGAACCAAACTGTCGACGACATAAACAGATGTTAGTGATAAAATTGTGCTTTTTTCTCAAATATCATGGTGGATGGTTGGCGGGTATCAAACATACATCATCTTTATCATTCCTCTTTCTTTTCTTTGAATGCTACTCGCAACACCTTTAATCTTCCGCACTTGTCTTATACGACTTATTCGTGTTTCGAGTGAGTAAAACTGTTACTTAAAATAAAACTCACATGTGTCACGGCACGGTGGAATCAGGCGCTCGTCAATTTTTGGGCATGTGGTATTAGTGGTAGTGCCTGATTGCTTGTCCATTTGTCTTGCTCTTGGTGAAAAAAAAACAACCTGTCTATCTTGAAAAGAAGTTGAGATATTTGCGAATGAAGGAGGTGGGGGGTCACCTTGTTTCAGAGGTAAAAATACTGAGAAAATGGCGATCAAAGATAGTCATTTCCTTAGCTTGAGAGTCCGTGGAACTGAACATTTACATTTTTGTGCCTTGAATCAACATTTTTCAGTGAAACCCACACAGAAATGTCTTCTTTTTTGGGCATGAAAGGTGTTGTACCAAAATACAAAAATTCGATAAAAAATTTCAAAACCTGCTGCAAAAATGCCTGTTTCTTCACTTTCATTATTTTGACAAGCGCCCGATTTAACCACGCTGCCTCACATATATTATGCTCCCAAAATGACAATACATGGACAATTATACATCTTTCATCTGAAAGACAACTAACATTGTACATTTCTGAGCAACATGAACATTAAGACATGACATTTAGGACACAAAATTCATCGACTGACATATATCCATGGAACCATACACCAGATATTATCATAAACAATAAACATAAAAAGTGCAGTTTAAAGAAAATACTGATTAAAAAATCAGCCAACTAAAATGGAAGCAGGCAAGAAACAAATGAAAGTGCATTTAGCAAATGTACAATAAAAAAGCACAGGTAATACTGAATAATCACAAGGATAATACTGTCACAGGCTAGAATAAAATATCTTGTCTGAGTTATTTTCCTTTGAAATATCACAGATTTGAATAATACTGTAAGGAACCCAAATATGCATCACAGAGTCAACAGCAAAATTTGAAGGAAAAAAAGCCTATACTAGGCCTACTGATTATTTAATACATACACATGGAATTCCCATCTATGTGAATTTACATGCATTATGCATTGTTTCATCACAGTGGAACTTCATTTGCTAAACTGATATTTCCAGCAAAGTCATGAATCGGGCACTTTTAGAACAAGTCTCCTGTTGAAATTACAGGCAAAAAGCAGGGCTGTGAGAGGAACTCTGTCGGGGTGCGCAAAAAAATTGCAGATATTTGATCAATTTATTACACTGTAAAATAAGTCGTGACAATTTAATACTGTAGGATAAATTGTTATTCAATACTGCTCAATGTTGTAGTATCTCTATTAATACTGAATTCTTTTGTCAAAGTAAGAGCTATTGGTAGCTGATTAAATTTAATGTCAAGCCTCAACCTACAGGAAATCACACTAACAGATCATGAACCTGTCAATTTTTTCTCCGTATACTTTATCCCAAGAACAGAAAAGACATCAAGACTTTGTCTCCACAAATATAAAAATTTGACAGCAGAGACTTCAGGGATACAGTGTCCTATATCACTGAACATGTATCACTATGACAAAAACCTTTCCACAAAAACGATTCTCACATTTTCAAGCTGGATGGACTCGAATAAAACTTCCACCAGATGTGTTTTCCTTACAGTGAGCCAGCACATAGAGATGACTTCACTGTTTTTGAGAACAAATGTGTCATGACACGGTGAAATCAGGTGTTCATCAATTTTAGGGCATATGGAGTTATTGATATTATCTTACAGCCTGTCCATGTGCCTTGCTTTTGATGGAAAAAATATCCATTTATCTTGACTACAAGTCAAGATATTGGCGATTGAAGGATGTGGGGATTGCCTCGTTTCAGAGGTAAAATAAGCAAGAAAATGAGTTATTTCCTTAACTGGAGAGTCCTTGGAAACTGAAAACTTACATCTTTTATGCCTCTAATCAACGTTTTTCAGTAAAGTGCACACAGAAATGTGTCCTTTAATGGGCATAAAAGATGTTGAACCAAAAAACAAATATTCGATAAAAATTCCCAAACCTATGCAAATATGCAAATTTCTTTACTTACATTATTTTTACCAGCGCCTGATTTCACCACGCTGCCTCACATATTCTTGTATGTTTTTTTAAAAAGCAAAAGTGACGCAAAGCTTCGGCAGAGCTTATGAAGTTCGCGAACAATACTAGCACGGCATACTGACAAAAAATGAAAAGCATTTACATTCCTGAATAATACCGATTACTTTGAGAAAATACTGATGGAGCATCAAAATACAGGTTATAACATGATACATTTAGGATTATTATATCAAAGCAAAAACCTAAAATTAAATGATTTTTCAAAATACTGAAAAATATGGCAAACGGATTGAATGTGTTGATTTAAAATATAACAAAAGTGATGCACATCATATTGATTCAATGTAGACCGTTCTCAAGATAGACCCAACCCATCAATGGTGAGACTCGATAATCTTCAGATAGCAGAAATGTTCGGAAATGGTACAAGGAAAGTTAGAAGCTACTCATTTTAAGACGTCATGAGTATTTGCCTACGAGCATAAGGATACCGAACTAAAGCAGATCTCAAGAAAAACTTTTGCAAATTTTGTCTTATATCATATTTTAGAGTGTTTTACATAAACGGAAATATGTAACTCTTTAGGATCATTTAACATAAGAGAACATTTTTATTTATTATTTTCCATTTTAAATATAACATTTTTTTATTTATCTAGTTCAAACTGAGACACCAAGTTTTTGATAATTTTTGTCATTTTATAGGGTAAGTATAAGCAAACGTTTAGCTTCCAACAATTTTTTTTCCTAAACTTGACAGATTAAAAAAAAAAATCGAAACATATAAAAATAAATAAATGTAACACTGAGTTCACAATAATATTCTTCCGAAACCTTTAGGGAGCTACTATAAATATCACATGAGGGTAATCGAACTTCCTTCTTCTGCCTACGTTCCAAGAGCTTTCTTTTGACGGACTTTCCTCGGTATAGGCAGACAGAGTTCTTCCAGTCTGGGTGTTGCCCGCGTCTTTTTGGCTGAGGGCGAGACCTTGTAGGGGTCGTAGTCGTCCTTGATCATGGTCCGGCTGCGTGGGCGAGCCAGCTGTTGTAGTCTCAAGGACGCGATGGCCTCGATGGCTTCCTGCGACACTTCCCACTGGATCGGGCGCTCGTCCTTGAACTCCTGTCACCCAGCAGACACACACACACATACAGGCTAGGGTGACCAGAACTTCAGGGGGAGGAGGAGGAGGAGAAGGAGGAGGAGAAGGACGAGGAGAAGGACGAGGAGAAGGACGAGGAGAAGGAGGAGGAGTGAACGAGGAGAAGGAGTAGGAGGACACAACAAGGAAGAAGAGGAGGAGGAAGAAGAACAAGGAGGAGGAGGAGGAGGAGGAGGAGGAGGAAGAAGAGTGAACGAGGGAAAAGAGAAGAGTAGGAGAACACAACAAGTTAAGGAGGAGGAGAACACAACAAAGAGAAGGAAGACAAAGAGCAGCAGTGACTATCAGTTCAGGAGGTGGGGGAGGAGGAGCAAAAACCATCTGTTCAGGAGGATGAGGAGGAAGACAAGGAGGAAAAGGAGATGGAAGAGGTGGAGGACAGGACAAAGAGGAGGTGGAGGACAGGACAAAGAGGAGGAGGAGGGGGAGGAAAAGGAGGACAGAACACATTTCAAAGTAAAGAACTTTTCTCTATTCATAATAATCCATAATATTCAACACTGAACCCTCTCTCCGTGAAACATGAAAAACTTGCTAGACGCATTAGAATGCCCTAGTCTGCTTCAAAGACAGAAAACCGGCGCCTGTATAGCTGTTAGGCACTTCCCTCTCGTACACAGCAGACCAGAGTTTGCAGAGTTTGATTTGTGAACGGAAAAACATTTTTTATCGAGTATCTTGGTCTTTCTGCTGGGTGTTTTATCCCTCTCAGCCTGGGTCGATTTGATAGGGATGGTTGGAAGACTGCCTTCTAAATGATCGAAACTGCGTCGAGAGGGGCGTAAATACACCTACATTAAAAAACAAAAGAACCTATAAGAAATGACATTGGACACCCTATCCATGAAGCATGAAAGATCTGCTAGTAGAAACAAAATCCTCCAGCCTGCTTCAAAAAACAAAATTCAAACGAAATAAACTCTTTTGTCAGATTAATCAATATTTAAGACCAATAAGGTACATGTCACGACGAGGTGGAATCATATTGAGGGGAAAGCTAGGAAAAGGTATGATGGAGGTGGACAAAGAGAAGGAGAAGGAGGAGGACGAAGGAGGAAGGAGGAGGAAAGAGGACAAAAAGGAGAAGAAGAAGAAGAAGGTGGAAAAAGAGGAAGAGAAGGAGAAGGAGGAAGAAGGAGGACAGAGAGTAGGAGAAGGAGAAGGTGTACAAAGAGGAGGAAAAGGAGAAGGGAGGAAGAAAGACTAGATGAATAAAAGACAGTAACCTGACCTTGTGGTAACCCTTGTGCTGTGCGAGCGACTCCAGCCTCTCCGTGCACCGCGACCTCTGGGCATTCTCTGACACAGGGTATCTGGGGAAGATAGTGAAGGTCATAACATCAATAACAGTAATAATAATAATAATAATAATAATAATAATAATAATAATAATAATAATAATAATAGTAATAATAATAATAATAACAGCAATAATAATAATAATAATAATAATAATAATAATAATAATAATAATAATGATAATATGGGCTGTCCCGCCAAGAACAAGTGATTATCTTCTGACTAAGAACACAACACACAGACAGAGACATCATATGTACAGATGTACAATCACCAAAATGCCAGCGTGGAGAGGCGGACTAAACTGTTAAACACATCCTTCAGCACTGCAAGACACACAGGTCCCTGAGACAGGAAACGTGGCCAACCCCACTGACGCTACAAGAGAAGCTATATCGGCTGACAGATGAACTGAGCAGGACGGCCCAATTTAAGACATATACCAGACTTCAAGTGTGATGCGATCGAGAAGAAGAAGATAATAATAATAATAATAATAATAATAATGATGATAATAAAGACCTTGGAAACTAAAAATTTACATTTTTTGTTGCCTTTAATAAACGTTTACAGTAAAACCTATACAGAAATATGTTTTTAAACTAATGTAAAATGTGCTGGGCTTAAAACACAAAAATTCAGTAAGAATTGCCAAACGGGAGAAAAAAATGTCAGTTTCTCCATTTGTATTATTTTGACGAGCGCCTGATTTCGCCACGATGCCAAACGCATTATAGTGACAGTACCCACGACACCCGCCTGTGTAAGACAACTACTTTCCACCTCCGACTGTACACACAGACATGATAGAACTATAAGATAAGATAGGATAAGATAAGACAAGATAAGATAAGATGCATCTTTATTGTCCAGATCCTGGCACACTGGTTTGGTGTTTCACCATGTACAAACATACACATGCACACACACACACACACACACACACACACACACACACACACACACACACACACACACACACAGAGGATTACAGTCACATACAATATATAAATAAACAGCAAGATAAGCAATAATAATCTTAAGCTAGATACATGCTCAATGTTATTCTGATGCAGGCCCTAGGTCCATACAAATACTTGAAACAAGATGGTTAAGATGGAAGAATTTTGATGGATGACGGTAAAAATGACATTCTGTATCTTTCTTTGTTACAGACCAGAAGCCTAGGTCTTTTATCTTTGACTGAAGCTATAATTTGAGGAAACAAGGGATGTTTATTGTCCAAAAAGATGGAATTTATTCTTTAAGTGCAACCTGTAAAGTACAATTCATCCAAGTAGGGGAATGTAAAAGGTTGTTCCCGCATCCGATCTGGACATTGGGGATTGCCTTCCTCGTGAGACAACTTCCTAGGCCTTCGGCATATTGTGGTAAGGTGGCCAGTTCCTTTTCACGCCGTCTTTACTTCCCCAACTCAAAGTGAGGTACCCATTACAGCTGGTTGGGCAGGAGAGGGCGGAAAAAATTTGTGTCCGAATCAAGGCTAGAACCCGGACTTTCCGCTTTGGAGACGAGCGCACCAACCATGCTTTCCACGGACTCACGTGTAGCCCCAGAAGGGGTCAAAGTTGGAGAAGCGCTCCTCCCTAGTTTTGGGCGTGGCCAGCTGTTCCAGGCGCTCCGAGGCCCGAGCTTGGGCCGCCTCGTCCGTGACGTCCCACATCGGATCGCGGTCAAACAGGTACGAGTTGTGAGGGTTGCGGTGCTGGCTCAGCTGTGTGATGCGGGACGAGGGCTGGGCCGACATGGCTCCTGAAGCAACCGGCCAGATGGGTGTGGGTCTAGGGGGGGGAGAGGATTAGTGAGTTGAGGTTTTAATAATAATAAAAGTTTTACGGAACTTACAACACAATAAGGCAATGTAAGTGCAGAAGATTGCAGGGGAAAATGAAGGAGAGAGAGAGAGAGAGATAGAGAGAGAGAGAGAGAGAGAGACAGACAGACAGACAGACAGACAGACAGAGAGACAGAGAGACAGAGAGAGACAGAGACAGAGACAGAGAGACAAAGAGAGATATCCAATTCAAAGTTTGGCACAGGAAAAGTAGCCTAGGTTGATCCGTCACAACCAAACCACTGTGCAGAAATACTTAATTACTGCAACTGTGTATGAAACTTGAAATAAGATTAACCCTTTGAGCCCTGAGCTCCTGAGGCTACTGTGCCCCTCTGACTGAGCTCCTGATCTCGAGCGCTTCAAGCCTTTATTCATATCATGGACAGAATCACATTCCCTATCCCACTCAGGAAAGTCCTTGTCATTACCAACATCTAACTCCGAAAGATCTTCAAAATAATAATATCCTGTGTGGTAGTAAGCACCGTTTTGTCACAGATGGGCTAGGTGGGAGAAAGGGTCTTGCTCACCGGTGTACCGGAGGCTGGGCGTGTGGGCAGTTTTATGCACTACCAATGTACAGGTGACTAGGGCTCAAGGAGTTAAGAGCGATCACATCTTTTTATTCATTCAAATGTCAGCTAAAGTTGTTTCCGTTTTTAGACTAAAGGGAGATATATCAGGTAGATTTTTAATCAGAACACAGTGTACTGATTATGTGTTCCTATTGTATCCATAAAGTGCTCAGAGTTCAGAGCTTTTGTTCTTTAATCAGGGATGAGCTCTATACAAATGTCACATATCATTATTATCAAATTGTAGGGTTTTTTAAAATAGAAACTAACTGCGTTTCTAAAATTCTCTACACACCACTCTCTCCCCCTCCCCCTAAAAAAAAAGAATCCAGCTGAAACCAAAAAATGTAAATAACTATCGAAAAGACGTACAGAGCACACAGAAACCATCATCGAGAGAAGTGACCACTCACCTGTGAGGTCTCCAGGCACCGACGACAGTTTTATGACGAGACAGCTCAATAACACGAGGTGTGGCAGCTGAGGGAAAGGAAAACATCAACAGTTATTAGACGATATAAATTCAGTCAGAGATTACTTTGGTTTATGTTGTTACTTGGAATATAAAACAAAGATTTTACACTACTAACCTTCTGTCACATGCCACAATAACAGGAATTAGCCAAACCTGTTCCTCTGCTCTGTGTTGTGATTCCTTCTGCAGCTTTGGGGCCCCGATGCGTTGGATTGGAATCTCACAATTCACGCACAACTGAACTGAGGCTCTAACTAGCCTTTCTTACAATCTATACTGTCAGCAGGCCTCCTCTGCCTTGATACAACTCTCTCCTCTCCAACTCCCACCAGTAGTAACTCAGACTTTTATCAACTTGCAAACAATACAACTGAACACAGACTCACACTTTACTCACTCTCACACTTTCAGCCAAACAATACAATAGGCTAGGCCTAACCCCCTGCAACAACCAAAAACAACCAAATACACCACAGTTTAGCACAGAACCAGTGCATCTGCAGAGAAGAATGTTCCTTCAGTTAAACAGAAGAGACATTTTTATGAGGGTTAAGATGACTTGTGACTTCTAATTCGCCCTTGATCAATAACAACAACAACAACTACAACAAAAATAACAACAGTAACCTGGATCAAAATGTTAATATGGCCACTGAGACCAATTCTGGCAGAAAAGAGCTTGCTACATTTAGAGCCTACAAAAGCTTAATTTTTTCACTTGTGGATGAGTGCAGTTTTGCAAGCTTCTGTCTTGGCTTCATTATTTGTAATTTGTAAAGTTTACTTATGATTGTTGGCTGTTATGACTGCTGCTCTCAAACTTCTGCCAGGAGCTAGGCTTTCCTAAGTCTAGAAACAAATGTTAAGTCCTTCAGAGACGTTTTTACCCAAGGAATATGACGGGGACGGACAACAAAGACAAGGGACAGGACAATTGAGAGCAGATGTTGGACTTGAGCGGAGGTTAGTTCAAAATGAGAAAGAGTGCCGTAAACATCAGAGTCACCCTCTTGTATAGGTAGAGGTAAAATGTATCAGATCTGATGGCAAGAAAAAGACAAAACGATAAGATTAGTATTTCGGTTATTAAATAAAATAATTCTCACAAAAATAAATAATCATGATATATGCCTTGAATGAAATAAGCCTTCAGTGAAAACAAATAATTATTCTTTGGATAGATGTTCAGGTGTTCTAAGCATTGAAAGCAAGACTTCTCAGGCGAGACTTTTAAAAAATCTGTTTCAATTCTTTTTAAAATTGTACCTACATCAAGTAGGCCTATCTTTATTCTTTTTTTTTTTCAGCATTCAAAATTTGAACTCAAACAAATATTTACGAGTAGATGCTACCAATACCACAGAAAAAAAAACTGCAATTCGAAAACAATTTTCCAAATTTGAACAGCAATAATTACTGGCTAATGCCAAGAGCCTTGAAGTATACTGACCTACAACTGTATGCCCGTCTGGTCCGCACCTCAGAGGCTCTCGTTCCACCCAGTACACCGACCGTCTGGAAGAAAAAAAGGACAAATATCGGTTAAGAAACACATTACTCTGTAAAAATATATTTGAGCCTCCATTCCTAAAATATGTAAAGAGTGGAGACCATGGATATGCATAGTTTGTTGAAGTCAAGTTCCGACTGGAAGACTCAAGAAGACTTTCATCCAATAGTCTATACCAGGTAACCTGGTCGGGTTATTATAGATAACATGATGTTTGTTCATATAGCCAACTTTTCATACATGTACAAAATTAAACGTATCATTATGTTCGGTTGTGATGCAGGGATGAATGGGCGAAGAGAGAAGGAGAAACAATGTAAGATAAAGAGAGAAAGACAGATAAACAGACTAGACAGCAGGGCAGGGGAGCAGGCAGGTAGGCAGGCAGACAAACATAGAGCAGACAGACACACAGACAGATAGAAGGACAAACAAACAGACATGCAGGGGAAAAAAAAAAAATGCGTGGACAAACAGAAGTGTATAACAATGTCCCAAAGTGAACTCATCCAGACATGCCATCAAAATATTTCATGGGAACTAATCCAGAGAAGACTAAGATAACATTAGAGTATTCTCACTGGTTGTGTTTCTTTGACTTTATATAATATAATTGAAACTGTCTTAGATGGCTACCCATTGTCGAGGAGGAAAGTGACCATCTTAGACATGTGGACGTCTCACACAGGGTCATTTTCATGTAAAAAAAAACGTAAGGAAGGAAATGGGAAGTGGTTGTTTGTACAGGTGACCGTCTTATACAGTTGGCCGTTAAAGCAGGTTCGAATTTATATTTCTTCTTTCCTGCACAGCTGCGTTAATTGCTTGAGAGCTGTTGTGCTGAGAGTTGGGATTCCAGATTTTAAAGAGAGAACTGAAAGTTCTTAAAGGGAACAATAACATATCAAGCAATAATAGCACAGTTGTAATATATATAGCGAAGAGATAACCTGAAGTAACTTGTACTTACTAGAATTAATAAAAGATGTCATACGCCCAACAGATACTTACTTGGATTCACACACACACACACACACACACACACACACACACACATATATACACACACACACACACATTAATAAGTGTTTCATTTATTCTTCTGCCTATTCTCAATATTTGTAGTTAAATAATATTATTATGATGAATGTTATAATAAAGAGGCAAGATAAAGTAAAGTAAAGTAACTTATGAGCCTTCAGACCAGTCATTTTTGTAATTGAACAACCTCCTCAGTAGCCAGTTGGAAAACTCTGCAAGAACTATTATTTGTTATGACACGATGGAATTGGGCATTCGTCAATTTTGGGGCATTTGGAGTAATTAGGATTATCTTAAAACTTATTCATTTGGTTTGCTTTAGATGAAAAAAGGACCCATCTACCTTGAACAGAAGTCGAGATAATTGTGATTGAAGGAGGTGGGGGGGGGGGGGGTGGGTCGCCTTATTTTAGAGGAAAACTTAGCAAGAAAATGGCTACTAAAGTCTGGTAACTTCCATAGGCTGTTGTGTCCTTAGAAACATAACCTTTTTTTTTTTCAAAAAAAATTATTAGTAAAAATTACTCTATGGCCGGGCAGAAAAATGTTGGTTCCTTCTATTTCTTGATTTTAACAAGTATTTGGTTTTACCACGACGCCACACGTTATAAAATAGCCTGACATAAGTCTGGAATAGGGAAAGGTAAGAAAACGAAAGCCAAGGTTTTCTATGAAAAATTTACAGACTTAAAGGTTTTTCAGTGAATATATAGACATCTAGGCCTACCTGTCATCTCTGTATTCTGCTGGCAAACGTTTCGGTCGAGCCAAAGTATCAATCCGCAAAATTTCTGTGGACAGATTGATGTACCATTATATTTTTCTTTTCAAATATTATAATAATAATTTGATAACAATTGTAAGGAGGAGGAGGAGGAGGAGGAGGAGAAGGAGGAGGAGAAGAAGAAGAAGAAGAAGAAGAAGAAGAATGATAATAATGATTATATAATGGTGACAATAATAATAACAATAATAATAATAATAATAATAATAATAATAATAATAATAATAATAATAATAATAATAATAATAACAAATGGCATTTTTTCTGTGCATTTCCAGTTTTTACTAAATGCTCAATGCTCGTTACAGTCAAAGATATATCACACTTGAAGTTACTTGGCAGGTGTATACACAGACCATAATTTGTTATGTAGGCCTATACAATTACTGACTCACCGTTACAATAAAACCTTCTAGGAAAAAAACTTTGCCATACTTTTACACAACTTATGAGCATGTTCTACAACAGAGTAGGATTTTAAACACTTATCATGAGGAACCACTTTTAAAGGATTATCACTCAAAGATGCTAGTTTCTTAAAAATGTGAATGACAATAAACATAGTGAATGTCATTTACAATATAAAACAACATTTTAAACATTTGAGTAGAAACTTTTAAAAGCAAACTTGTAGAAGAAAAGAAAATTTATCCATAAGCAAGATTACTTTTTTCTCATTTTAACAAATTTTTTCCCCCGGAGTTCTGAAACAGCATTTATACTGAGTGCATCTAACAATATTAAGATGCTTCATAATTTGATGACCGTGGGTGTACCTAATTTTGAACTCCTTGAAGGGCATGAGTGAAAATATGATTTTGAAGACTGGTCTAGGATGATACCACAGACAGTGACACTGAATGATCCACAACATGCAAAACATGAAGTTCACTTGAAGGGAAACTCTCAAGGGAACAAAGCATACAATATAAATTCATTCCATCAAAACCCATTGCGCATTCAAAAACATAAAAGTAACATTCTATTTCAACCACAAACATTGAAAAATGAAAAAGAAGGAAAACAGCCAACAGGATAAAAAAATATGTAAAATTACTCAAAAGAGTGATCTTTGACCATAAATGGTACCCATACCCATGTTTAGACGAACTGTTCTTCATATCCGTAGCTATACGGGGTTGAAATAGTTCATAACAAAAACCTAAATGTACAACATGCATTCACAGAGTACAGTCAAAAGCCTGAGAACCTCACTCTGGTACAACTGGAATGATTACTAACTGTTCTATAAGCAGGTTGCTATCAATATCAGTCAAAGAGTTGAGAAACAAATCCAATTAATCTGTGCCATGGCATAAGTCCGTGCCAAGAGCTTTCATTTGCTGAGCCAACCAGTGATTGAATAAACAAGATAAGGGGCACCTTTCTTCCCCAATAGTGGACATTTTTATACGGGCAAATAGGAGCCAGTAGACTATCAGTATATATATGATGAAGTGAGTGACTGTTAGCACCATCAAAGCTTTACACAATACACTCTGATAGCTAACAATGCTGTACCAGCACCAATGTTTTAGTCAGAAATATATATAAAATAGAACCATTGTGAAATTTTAGAAAAGAAATTTGATTGCAGAAATCTACATTTTAGAAAAAGAAAATAATTACAGTAATACAAAGCAACAATATATGTTTGTTGAATTTTTGTCTATCAGGTAGGACCATTCAAAACAAATCATTCACCAATGAAATGATTATATAAATCAGTGAAAAGTTCAAAAGATGGATTGTACTCTCACCAGAATTTAAAGTGTGTGCATGATAGATCCTTGTCTATATCAAAAGGCAGGACATAATATTTTCAACATATTATGCTACAGAAGTGAAGCTAATAAGACAAGAGCATTAAATTTTGTTCTGAAAGTTTACAGGGTTTACTACAATTCCTCTACTCTTGTACATCCAAAACTAGTCAAACCATCATCCTTGGGAGGAGCATAAAATTGGTGGTACAGCCGGACTGGCAAAACAACAGGGTTCTAAAGCTTTCCTCTGTTAAATCGGCTACAAGCAGAAGCTTGCAAAGTTGTGTGTGGAAGAAAGTGCAGTTATCACAGCACAGCTGCCAAGTGGGTGCTGTGCGCCATGTTCGGTGTTTACTTCTAGTGACCAGTCCACTGGCTGCGTCGCGAGGCACATTTACATCAGCCTCGTAAGGGCCACACACTCAGACAGCTGGCAGATGGTGGTTTAAAGCGCCAAACAGTATGTTCAAATTATCATGAAATCAGCGCTAGTTTTTGTTCATTTTCAGAACTTGGCAGCGAGCAGGGCCGGTGGTAGGTACCAGGCGACAGTATAATAAGGTCGGATTGTACATCATCAGGTGCTGGTCATAGCCCTCCATCTCTCTCTCTGACAGCACGGCAGCGTGCTAAATTATCTGACTTCTAAGCTTGTTCGGTTGACATCTGCTCTCTCAAACTTCCTCTGTCCATTCCCATGCTGCTACAAAGTTGTGATCTTTTGTGGCAAGGCCATTCTGATTTCCATGACCACTGCTAGATTGGTTCTTTTAGGAACATTTCACTTCACAGTGACATTACAAAACAATGTATACAAAGGACTAGAGCCTCATCAAAATACAATATGGGCACTCTTTTAGCTCAGTTGATATCATGCTGGACTATGGAGCAGATGGCCATGGTTTGAATCCCGGACTGGGCATTCTTGAATTCAGGCTGGTTTGCGGAGTTTTCAAGGCGTTTAATCCATTTGGATTAGTCCTACTGGTAGACAGGTGTTAAATTTAGAAGCCCCGCCTCTTTACAAAAAAACATGTTTCCATTTCATTTTTGTCAAAACTTGTTATCTATCACAAGAGTTTGTGTGCATTGATTGATGAAAATCACACTCATTCAGATGACGGATATTGGTGGAAAACATTTGTTGCAGGTGATTGAGTGATTGAAGTGAGCAGGTTTTTTACGGCCCAGTTGTCACAAATTGACTGGTCATAGATAGGTTGGACAAGGGCCAGAACGGGTCAAAAATGCGAAAAAACACACATGGGTGTCACGGAACAGTAGGTGACCATAAGGACAGGTGACAATAAGTACAGGTGACCATAACGAACAGGCTAGTAACCGAAAGTACCAGTGACCAAAATAAGTACAGGTGACTGTTACAGGTAACTGCTATGGAGAGGTAGGTCCAGCTGTAGTATGACGACTGAACATATGCAGAACTAAGTAAATTACCGTAAAATTTTTAGATGAACAAAGACAAGGAAGATAGACGGTATGGTTCAATCAAAACTGTTCAAGACAGCTACAATTGTCGAGGAAAATGTGGTTGTCTTGAATTAAAATCTTGCACAGTGTCATTATAAAGCAATAATGTGTTCTGAGCATGTGGAGTTATTAGTATCATCTGAAAGTTTAATTATTTACCTTGATTTTGATGAAAAAAATACCCATCTATCTTGAATAGAAGTTGAGATATTTTAAATAGAAGCAGGTGGGGTTGCCTGGTTTCAGAGGTCAAATAAGTGAGAAAATGGCGGCCAAAGTTTGATTATTTCAACAGCTTGAAAGTCCTTGAAAACAGAAAATTTACTAATTTTGTGCCTTTAACCTGTTTTCCAGTACAATTCACATGGAAATGTGTTTTTATATGGATATTAAAAAAAGGTGTTGAGTCAAAAAAACAAAAATTCGATAAAAATTGACAAACTGGTGGAAAAAATGCCTGGCCCTGTTCCTTCCATTTCATTGTTTGGACGAGCGCCCGCTATCACCACGATGTCTTATATATATATGTTTCTAAAAGACACAAATGGGAATTGGGAAGAAGAGTCGTTTGTACAGGTGACTGTCTGGGACTGGTGACTGTTAGAGCAGCTTGGGTTCAAGTATTTTGCTTTTATATTATTGAAAGTAGCAGAATACAAAAAGGCTTATATTTTGGCAAAAAAATATGAATAAATAGCAGTGACCATATACATTTCCCTGTTCATTAGAAATTAGAGGGATGCAGTAATAATGTGGTTAATAAAAAGACTAAAAAAGAAAGTTATTTTATCGACTCAAGCTCGCTTAATTAATGCTGTCAGCTCAGATAATGAAAAGATAATGAAATTTCGTCTCCATTCAATTGTTACTGATAAAATATGTGCACATAACTAAACACCAAAAGAGATGACGATCTAATATAAAAATGAGCCAACAGTTCACAAACTGATGACGAAGGTTACAGCCTTAGAGAAAATGCTCACAAGAAGAAACAAAGAATAGAATTTTAACACAAAGTGAAGCACAGTTGCAGCATGCACTTTCAGAGCACCAATAAAAATAAAGCCTTCAAACAAACCACCTGGCCTACATGTCAAGTGGAACTAGCAACACCTCAAAATGAGGCTTTAGAGGAAAAGGAAAAGTTTACTGACTTAACTAGGCTATAATTAGCATTAAGAGATTATTTCTCATCGGCTCAACAAGGTGAAAATCACAATTTAGTATGTGAATGAATGAAAACTGTAGATGGAAGACATTCTTTGATGAGTCCCAGGGGCTTTAATAGTTGATTTTTTTTTAAAATACTGTGAAAAGCTTTCTAAGCTGTCCTTTGAATATACACATAAAAAATTCTTTCACAGTTGACACGACTGGAACCTCATGTTTAATTTTCAACGTTTATTCAAAAGTCTTTACATAGCAACATTAATCAAACTTTTTGAAGTGAAACCAATGAGCTGGCAACAGATCAAGCCTCGTAGCATGCACTTCGAGAACATCAAAGGCAACAAGTTCGAAATACTCGTCATTGACAGTGAAATGAGAACATGTAGGGGCCTACAGTCAAACCTGTCCAAGACAGTCATCCATTGTCGAGGAAAAAAGTGGTTAGCTTAGATAGGTGGATGGCTTGGATAGCATCATTGTAAATGTTTAATAAACAACCAGTAATTTTAAGTGGGAAGTGGTTGTTTGTAAAGATAGTGCCTTGGACGTGGTATTAGAGCAGGTTAAACTCTATTTGGTTCCTAAACTTGTTCTATAAGGAAACAAGTCTAATTTGAGCTGTCTTTTGTCACATACACAGATAACACATGAGCTACTTCGATATAAATCTAGAACATTTGAAATTTTTAAAAAAGGAAATCATACCTTTATCAGATGGCATAATATGTAGGACTTCCTGTATTTTGAGTACAGTTTGGAGAGAGACATGAAAAATATTTGCAGTGCTTCAAGAGCTGTCCCTAGCATTCTATTATAAACTCTTTGATATTTGTACAGTCACAGTATAACAGTTTCTATCCTTATATGTTGGCATCGATTCAGGATAAATTGTTTTTAAAAATGACAAAATAAAACGAAAACTTAAAAACATTACGGTCATGTGAAAAATTACCGCATGAACCTAAACTAAACTGAAATAAAAAAATGACTAGATCTAGGCCTTTAGTTGAATATACTATTTGTGGAAATTAGACAGTCATGACAAGAATTTTTAATAAAAACATATATATATCTATATATGTGCTTTTCCCCCAGCCAGTTTCAAAGAAAATAGGAGCTATAATCTATATATGTATGTTTGAAGCTATTTTTTAAAGTTTAAGATATATATTATATATATCTAGATCTAGATTTAGATCTAGATCTAGAATCTAGAAGCTATATCAATTAATTTTTAAAAAACAACATATATATGCGCTGGAACACGTGACGCGTACCTACAGGGTGATATAAAGTTAAACTCAAACATACGCAATAATATGTATGTTTGAAGCTATTTTTTTTTCTTTTAAGTTCAAGAGATATAGATCTAGATCTAGATCTAGATCTAGAATCTAGAATCTATATCTATCAATAAAAAGAAAAAAAAACCATTATATGTGCTGGAACATACCTTTTTTACTTTACTTGGAAACAGGGTGGTAAAGTTAAACTCAAACAAACGCATATACGACACACACACACACAAATTATGAACTGAATAATATTTAGGCCTACTAGATTCTAGATCAGAAAGGCCTTGACTAAACTTTGGTCCAATGTAGGACTGAATTCACTAAAAAAGACATTATCAAAAACTGATTTGTACCTGCAAAAGTAATGAAACATCTGAAGCAAAAGGCAGTTACATTCAATTTCGAGTCACAGAGATACCCTGCCACCACTTCGTGTAGGAACGCTGGCAGTGTCAGTGAGAAAGAAACGGGCAGCACCATGACTTACTTATTTGAATGTTACGTACACGTACAAAAAAGCAATGAATGGCAATGGCAATATCAAGTTATAATAAGGCGGGACCGTCGTTGGCCTATCAATAATCATGTAAAGGAAACAGATTTTCAAAAGCAGTCGTTTGCTAGACCAAAGTCTGCTTACTTTTTTCCAATAGATCAATACATAGGCCCTCCTCGGCTTCAATAGTACAAACATTAAATAACAGTTAATGGCTGAGCAAACCTTTTTAGAACGAAGAACGCTGCACTCACCTGTACGGGTCGCCATTTTTCTTTACACACAGCGTTCGATGGTTGCCAGGGGCGCTCGCACCAGGGGAGCTTACCGTGTTATTTCATTTCGACAGAGTTAAGTTCCTTGTGAATTGAAGCAGAGATTGAAGGCATAAAAATGTCGCTCAACAATGGGCGCACGAATTAATCAATAGTGAATAGCAAAGGTTCAAAATTGTAATTTAATTGCTCTCTCTTCAAAGCCGTTATGGTTTTTTTCAAATTTTATTAAAAGATCGAGCGCATTATCTTCTGTCTTTGCACAACCGAAAGCAAAGATCAGGGAACAACCCCTCCCCCCCCCCAACCAAAAAAACAGCCTATCAGAGAGCCTTCAATCTATGAAAATAATATTATTATAATAACTTGCCTTTGTATTGATTAGAGTAGTTTATTTATCGAGGCTAGGTCTATTAAACTTCTTTGATAGGCTATTGGTTTCTCCACTACGCACTTCTTCAAATTAAAATCGCTCAATCAGAGGTGTTCAATCACTCGTTGATTTTTCAAGTGACTGAAGATATAACATAAGCAGGCTGCCAAAACAGATTAATGTAAGGCATAAAAAATGATAATAGGTCTGTACGTTATGCTTTATACAAATTATACTCTTATTTGGAGGTGGTTAGGGAAAGGTAGGGAAAGGGGGTGGGGAGGGGGGGGTGAAGAGAATAGCTTGGACATGATGACAAATATTCTTAAAATGTCAAGATAACAAAATAGAGCGGCCTTTGAATCGTGAGACCCATTTTTGCGTTGGGCTTGTTTTTGTGCCATAGGCCTAGGCTTTATTTTTGCTAAGATGGTGACCGAAAAAATGGAGGACAGAAGAGGGCGTGGGATGGGGGTAAGACTTCTTGATCAATGTAGAAAGTAAAGAGATA